TGTGTATTTGCAAATTCATATTATGTAAGACGAAAACCATATTGTAGATTGTGTAAGGAGAAATAAAGCATATTATAAAAATATTCAAAAAATATTATAAAATTTTAATTATTATTTAACATAACTTTTATATTTGTGATTATATATTATTACAAGCATTATAAAAATAAATTTTTTAAAATATGTTGGTTTTAGAAAGAAGTTTGTGAAATATTAAAACAATATATATACAAACATACCAATATTTAAAAAAACTAATCAACATTTGAATATTATAATTAACTATGTATATAAAAAAAATTATACCCGCAATATCTCCAAAATGAGTTGTCAAAACTTCAGGCACAACTTCTTCTTCAATAGCTACTTTGCAACCTTCTTCTTCAACAACTACTTCACAGTCTTCTTCTTCGACATCATTGCGTTCATTATCTTCTACTAAATCATCAGCAGAATCATCAACAATAGCCTCGCTATCATCATCACGCTCCAATTTTATTTCATCATCCTCAACAATAGATTTTGTGCTTTGACGTGATGAGAGCTTCTTTCTTTTCGGCATATCAGGATTCTGGAGCCAATTTTGGTAACATAAGAGACAATAGAAGAGATCGATAAAGAATGAGACTAGAGCAAGGAGAAAGATGAGAGAAGAGATCGATATAGAATTAGGGATTTGAGATTGAAATTTAGAGAAATTGTGTGTTTTTAATTCGGTGTCGTTTTACTCTCCGCTAATGATTAACAGGTCTCAAACGATAAATTATGTTGACTAAAAGTGTATCTGTTTTATCTTGGTCAACACAAGTTGGTATGTTTTTTTAGAGTGGTGTAGAGTTCATATTTGTTTTGGCAAAAAAAGATGAGTTTATAATTTTTATGACCGATTTCTCTTAATAAAATATATACATATACATCTTTATCTATAAAATGCTAGTATTAAATTATAATATATATAGATATATAATATGATATATACGTATATATTTATTTATAGAGTAATATTAAGTTGTGAAATAATTATATAATTTTGTGAAGAAGAATGTTTGAAGACTAATAGTGACGAATTAGTAAATCGGGAAGAAAAAATCACCAGAATCACTATTGTCGGCAACATGAAGTGGATCAGAAAAACATAAATCGGAAAGCCCAAATCCAATTAACTAGTAATTCGAAGTGGGGTAAAGATTAAGAGAAAAGGAATTAATCCATAAAAATCTGATGATCTCGATGATGCTACTATTGATGATCTTGATATACAAATTTACGAGTAAAATTTAGGCCACTGTTAAAAATAGAAGATGATAACAAAAGAAAATAAAAAATTAAAGCATCAAGAAAAAGAGTACAATGGAATCTAGAAGATAAATTATAAAAATGGACAAGGAGAGAGGAGAACTAGGAGTAAGGAAAATGAGAGTATTATTCATTAAGAGCGTGAGGGTATTATAGTCGACATATGTGACAAAATATTTTAATGCTTAAACTTATAAAGGAACTTTGTTGATTTGTTAATTTTATACCAGTCTTTTGCCATTTGGTGATAATCTATACAAAATGAAAGGAGAAGTTTGGGGCTCCGAAAGCTATCCACATCAGTAAAAACAAATCTCTATAATTATGCCACATCAACAAATCTTTAATAAAAATAATTTTCAATATATTAATAATATGCTTAAAATTAAATATTATTTAATTAACAATAATAATAATATTTGAATATTAATTAAATTGTATGTACTATGGTAACAATACATATAACATATTATAACTTGATTTTAACAAAAATAAAAATATATTATATATATAATATTTTAAATTCTTATATCCCAAATTAATAATAATAACATATTTAAACTAAAAATCGTTAAGATATAATATTATGAGGTATTAAGTTCGTTCACACAATAATTAAAAACATCAAATATGTATGATTATGTACATACTATTCCTATATTTTTGGCTAAATACTTTTAGGCATAAATTAAATTACAGTATAGTATGAATCATCATTATAGTCATGCATGCATATGTAAAAATATACTTGCATAACTTTATATTAGAAAATATACGTGCATAACTTTATATTAAACATTAATATATTACACTTCCATATTTAAAAATAGTATATATAATTTTATATAAAAGAAAATATCATAAACACTTCTCTAACCATGTACATCAACAAAAAAGAATTTTTTTACAAACTCAACATGTAAAAAAAACTAATATGTTTTTTTTTGGTTAAGAAACTCTTTTGAAAATAATATAATATATATTATTAATTTAATTATAAAGTTTCACCAAAATATATATATAGTGTAAGAAAAATATCTAAGTTAAATTATAAGCAAATGAAAATGAATCTTTTACACATTTTGAGTTTTGAGAAGCTCGACATATTTTGTTTCATAGAATGAGTTAGTATAGAGATGTATTTGTATATGTATTACTTGCTTTATTCATCTACACTACTATAGTTTACATATACTTCAGAGACCAAATAAAAAATACAGCTTATCAATATGATTATGATTTTGTAGAATGTGTAAATGTTATTTTCATTTATATGAACAATAGTTCTTTTACGGATTTGTAAGAGTTTTGAATATTAATTATTGTTTTATATTTAAGACTGCTCATAAAAAAATCTATTACACGAACACAATTGAAATGAAAAGATATCTAAATTAATTAGAACACAATATAGGTGTTTCAATTGTAGTCATATATTTGATAAGTAATTTTTTCTTAAATGAAAAAAATATTTTAAATTAAATAAAGAAGAAACTTATAGTTGTTGAATTCAATTATATATCAAATTTAGTTAATTTTTTTTTTAATAATAGTTTGAAAGTTGGTGAGCCGTAATGAGTTTATATATAAATATTAAGTTTTAGATTAACAATTAATTTTCACATATTTCAAAGAATTAGTTAATTTTTAAATTAAATCATAATAATTTTTTTGAATACGTTAAAATCTTTTAGATTATGACCACATCAAAACGATATTGAAAATAAATATTATATTTAAAATATTAATTTACAATTAAAATAATTTCATTAAAATAATAGTTAATATTTATGAAAACATTCCGTGCGTAGCGCGGTAATATCTCTAGTACTTTAAATATTTTCTGAAGCACCATTCTTAAGAGAAAGTGGCATAAAACGTCTTGTACTTTTTTTTATTTCTCTTTTTGTTGTGTGCAAAAGTGGCATATACTATAAAAAGCAAAAAATAATAAAAAAAGACTACTTGAATGATAAGGAAAACAAATCTGAACTTTGTACGAGAGATGTGTCAAAACATTGGAGAAATTTAGTGTATTTTTTCTTAATTCCAGTTCTCTGGCATGTAGTGGCAATTCAAACTCTTGAAGGTGTCACTCTTTCAAGCCCAAACCTTGTTTTTGCAGATTGATGATGTGCATGGATGGTTAAATGCATAAGAGCAACCCCAATGATAACACCACTAGAAAGGGTCTTAATGATTAATTATTAATATTTTGTGTACTTTATATATATAAGCAATGTTCAAAAAATCGCTAGGCAGCACCTAGTCGTTCAATAGAGGTCTAGCGCCTAACCATAGAAATCGAGGTTTAATCGGGGCCTAGACGTTTATTATTTGTTTTTATATTTTTATAATTTTTATTTTAAAATGTTATGTTAGATTTATTTGGTATAGTCAAATTCTCAAATTGAATATCATCTATATTAAAAAATGAGAAATTTAAATTAGTTTTTACTAATTAATTATATTCTCTTGTAAAAATTTAGTAAATATGTAAAGTTAATTATATAAAATATGGCTAAAACCAGAGTTGAAACATAGCAAAATGAATAATAAAATTAACAAAATCAATAAGGGATTTGAAAACTGAAGTTTTATATAAAGAAAATAAAGTAGAGTAGCATAAAGAAGTTAAGTAGAAACATTGTTATAATTAAACCTTAATCACGTTTAGATTTTGCTTTTTGTTTTTATTTAATTAAAAAAAATTATTTGACTTTGTAATACGATGTCGTAATTAGGAAACCAGCAGTTAATTAAACAATTTAATTAAATACTAAACCAGATATTAAGAGATTTAATCGATTTTAACTGAAATAAACCATTTAAACCGGGTTTCCGATTTAACATACCGATTTAAGGAAAATCGTTTCGGAACTGTAGGTTTAAGTGCCTAGGCGGACGTCTAGACGGGGACTAAACGAGTTTTTGAACATTGTATATAAGACACTTAGTAGAATTTTGTTGTTTTTAAGCATACAATGGAGACACTTTGATGAGTGTCTTAAAAAAAAAATTTAATAAATTTATATAAAATTTATTTTAACAAATTTTAAATCATAATATATTTTCACAAAGGTAATACATATAAACATATAAATTATAGAAATGCAATTCAGTGCTTGTTGAGAAGCTTTCTCTTTTGGAATTCCAGTGCTTGTTGCTAGGCATGAGATTTTGGATACTTCGGATAATTTGAATAATCAGATAGTTTGGATTACTGAAATTCTACCGAAAATAACCGAAGTTTCTTATCTGAAACTATCCAAACTTTTAATTTTTTTTTAAATTAGGTTAAATTCGGTTAATTTCGGGTAGATTCGGGTTATTTCGGGTATTTTCGGATAGTTTGAATATTTGATTCGGTATAATTTGATATATTTTGGTATAATTTGTTTTTTTTTAAAAAAAAAATTCGGATAACCGTTCGATTCAGCAAACCGAACCGAACTGAACCAGTTAGAGAGAAAGAGGAAGACAGAAACGAAAAATAAAAATGGAAGACTTTTTTTGTCAATTTTTCCTATCCATTTATAATCTGCCACGTGTCCGTTCTTAGATAAGAACAAAGATCCTAATTTAGACACTGGTCTAAAAATTAAAATATTTTTTATAATTTTTTTATTTAATTATATTCTTAAGAACATTTATTAGATCCATGTGTTGCCATTGGGGTTGGTCTAAGAGAAGTAAGAACTGTCATTAAATTCTCCTGACTCAACCATCACACACACACTCTATCTCTTCTCTCTCTCTGACACAAACACAAATGCAATTTACAGTTATCATTTATCAGGACAGCTACCTCTTCTTTCTCTCTCTTTCTTGATTAAGAAACCTCACTTTTCTTCTTCAGAGAGACAAATTCAAAGAATGACGTTTTCATTTTCTTCCTGCAGACCAAAATCTTCATTCATCTCATCTCTTCTTCTTTTTCTTCCTCTACTTCTGCTTATTTCTTCTTCATTCGCTGACCTCTCTTTCAACTTCTATGGCAATTCATGTCCTGGAGCAGAGTTCATCGTCAGGAACACCGTTAGATCGGCTTCAACGACTGATCTATCAGTCCTTGGGAAGCTCCTCCGTCTCATCTTCCATGATTGTTTCGTCCAGGTACATATTACCACATTACAAAAAACATGACTGTTTCTTGGGTTACAAAATAAGATTTTGTCTTGTAATTGATGATGTCTCAGGGTTGCGATGGATCAGTGTTGATTCGAGGTAACGGCACAGAGAGAAGCGACCCTGGGAACGCGTCTTTGGGAGGATTCAATGTGATTGAAAGCGCCAAAAATGTCCTTGAAATCGTCTGTCCGGGCATAGTCTCATGCGCTGATATCCTCGTTCTTGCTGCTAGAGACGCTGTGGAAGCTGTAAGATTTCATCAAAGTTCACTTATATATATAAGTATAGTGTTTGTTTCTATCAATCTTTTGCATAAGAACTCTGTTTCTTGTTATCAATCTTTTCAGTCTTTTGCATAAAAACTCTGTTTCTTGTTATCAACCTTTTGCATAAGAACTCTGTTTCTTGTTATCAACCTTTTGCATAAGAACTCTGTTTCTTGTGAATACTATTGGTCGGACAGCTTGGAGGACCGGTCGTAGCGATACCGACAGGGAGACGAGACGGGACGGTCTCAGTGGCAGAAAATGTCAGACCAAACATCATCGATACTGATTTCACAGTTGATAAGATGATCAATGTCTTTTCATCTAAAGGCTTATCTGTTCAAGATCTTGTCGTTCTCTCAGGTATGTATGTTTCTTGAAATATTCAAGAACAAGAGATTTTTTTTTTTTGGTTTTTTTATTAAAGAAGTCTTTAATTTTAATTATGTTACTGCTTAGGAGCGCACACTATTGGAGCTGCGCACTGTAATACATTCAACAGCAGGTTTAAAATAGATCCCCGAGGCAACTTCGAGCTCGTAGACGCGTCTCTCGACAACTCCTACGCGCAAACACTTTTGAACAAGTGTTCATCGTCGATAGATCCGACGGCTACGGTCGTGAACAACGATCCAGAGACATCTTCGACGTTTGACAATCAGTATTATAGGAATCTACAAGCGCACAAGGGTTTGTTCCAGACGGATTCGGCACTCATGGAAGATGATCGGACGAGGAAGATTGTTGAGATTCTTGCGAACGATGAGGAGAGTTTCTTTGAGAGATGGACTGAGTCGTTTATAAAGATGAGTGTGATTGGTGTGAGAGTTGGTGAAGAAGGTGAGATCAGACGCTCTTGTTCCTTCGTTAATTAAACGTATTGGAGATATAGTTTGTGTTGTCTTACTTAGTTTTTACACGATTTGTTTGATTTATTTATGTTCAGCTGCAATGTATTATGGTGTATATGCCCCCTTCAAATTTTAGATCCCTCGCAATATATCTATAGAATTTTTGTTTTTAAATATATACTCATGGAGATAGTTTTTTTTTAATCACTTTTGTACACATTTCTACAAGGTACAAGCTTGTGATCGTTTTAAATAGTTGTAGTTCCTAAATTGTTTTGAATAGTTTTGAAATAGCTCCTTTGGATAATTATTTTGTCCCGCTCATAGGTGAAATGGATAAACATGTTTTGATTTGTAAAAGGTCGATTTGGACAGTTAGTGAGAAAAAATATTTTGGATCCAAGACTTAGCTAGCGAAGACATATCAAAGAATTGAAATCAGAAATGGTAAAGATATTTTTTGTCGGAAAAACATATTTGGGATCATCTATCTATCTATTACTAATAAAAGTTGATGCTAAATCTAAGAGTGTCCACATATGATTTAAAAAATTCAATTCTATTGGTACACATCATCATTTATAGTTAATTATATATATATATTAAAATTAATTAATTTCATTTTTATTAGTATTAGTAAACTTTTTAAATTTAATTAATTTTATTTTTGTTGTTATTGGAAAAGTTTCTAAATTTTTAGATAATTATTAATAAAATTGAGTTTAAAATATATGGAAATTAGATCTTATTTTCTATTGAAAATAAATAGAAAATTAACATATTATTAGATTATAAAAATTATAAAAATTATAAAAATATTCATTTCATTGGTCCACATCATTTTCTGTAATACCTTATATTTTTAAGTTAATTATTTTCTTTTTTGACTTACTTCTATACTATATAAAAGTTGATGACATAGTGCATTAAGGACGTCCACATAGGACGAAGAAACTTGATCTGATTGGTCCATATTAACAATTTCATTAAACAAAAAAATGTTAAATATGATTAGTAATTTGAATAAATTAAAATACACAAAAAGGAAAAATATCATGGTACAATGGAAAATAAAGATAAAAAAATTTAACTAACAAAACAGATAAAATGAGTTATGTCAAAAATCCAAATTTATAGTGTTTGTCAAAATAAAATGGAAACTAACTGTCACAAAACCTAAATCAATAAAAAAAAACAAATATGTAAATCTATAACGAAAAAATAAATTTGACAAAAAATTTAAATATACTTTAAATAAAAAATTTATTTAAACTTAGCTTTAAACTAACTATTAAAGAAATCAAGATAAAAAAAACTAAAGTTGTAAAAGAACTATTTAAGAAAGTAATATAAAAGTAAACAAAAAACAAATAAAATAAAAATGATGTTATAAAAAAATTTTAATACAATTAAAATTGAAATTAATATACAAAAATATTTTAAAAATCATTGCAAAACAAATTGAGTTGATATATATGCTAACTATTTAAAAAATCAATATAAAAGAGTCTCATTAACAGAAAAAGGAAAACATTAACTGTAAAAATGTTAATATTTACAAAACAATTATGTTTCAAAATTAAATAAGAATCAATAAAAAAAAGTAAACTAACAAAGGAAAAAAAGTGATATAAACAAATATTTTGATATTTAGGCTAACATTTTTTAAAAATTAACATAAAAAAATTAATAACAGAAAGTTTAATTAACAAAAGAATTTTTTTAGCATATATACTTTAAATGACTATTTTAAAAAAATTTAGCTTTAAACTAACTATTAAAGAAATCAATAAAAAAAATAAAGCTTTAAACAAACTACTTAAGAAATTAATATAAAAATGAACAAAAATAATAAATTATAAATGATGTTTTACAAAATGTTAATAAATTTAAAATTGTTATTAATAAAAAAACAAATATTAAAACAATCATCTAAAAAAATTGACTTGATATATATGGTAACTATTTAAAAATTTCAATATAAAAGAGTCTCATTAACAGAAAAAAGAAAAGAAAATTATCAGTAAAAATGTCAACATTTACAAAAATTATGTTTCAAAATTAAATAAGAATCAATATAAAAAAGTACACTAACAACGGAAAAATTAATAAAAAACTAACTTAATATTTAGGCTAACATTTTTTAAAAACTAACATTAAAAACTTTAAAAACAAAAACAAAACAAATGATGCAGTAATATTTTAAGAGAAGTCGATATTAAATTTAAAATGAACAGTTATAGTATGTCAAATCAACATTATAACTAAAATGAAAACTACTATTAAAAAGGAAAATTTAAAAAAGAAAAAGCATTCAAGTAAAATAAATTAACTTGATATCTATGCTAGCTATTTTGAGAATCAACAACCAAAAAGTATAATCATAAAAAAAAACAAATCCTAAGTATAACAAACAAACAAAAAAAATTTATATATATTAAAATAAAATATAAATTTACTTTCAAACGATGTAAACTAAAAGATTTTTAGAGTATTGGTATCTATAATTAATATCTATATAAAGTTGCAATAAGTATACCTATTTTTTTAAATCAAACATATTCTTTAAATATACAAAAGTTGATATAGTAGGTACTTCTGACTTATAAACTAACAAAAAATACTATATTAGTAACTTTACACTCAAAATTTAATAAGCAGTAAAATCTGATTTTTATATATATACTACTTATATCTGAGCCAACATTAATAACATATGAGTAACATCTTCTAAAATTGTATTTAAATAATAAAATATGATAAAGTTAAGAATCAAACTCAAATTGATAAATCTAGATAAAATATTCAAATCAAAATATGCAGAAAGCAGATAGAAGATAAAAACAGTAAAACAAATATAAATACTGCACACATCTATCTTACAAGTTTAAAAACTAGAATGATCAAATATTAGACTGCCAAAAAAAAAAATTCAATGATAAACTGAATAAAGATATAAAAATAAAACTCATGCAAGACATGATGAAGAAGTAGGAAACAATTTTGTACGAACATTGGAGTTTTTAACAAAACTAAATGTGAATCAACATGAATCATGAATTATATATATGCATAGATACACAATATCAATGAGATATTCAATCAAAAAATTAATTTTTTAATATATAAACCTTACAGAAAAAAGAAATGTAGAATCTCTATGGGAATTAAACAAAACACCAAGATCTTAGCAAAGAAACCATTCTCTAAATCAAATGTGTTTGCATGTCAAATTTAGATAATTTGATAAGCGTCATTGTTATTATTTTATTTTGTAAGATTTAATTTTTTATAAACAAAAAACCGGGGAAAACTACATGTTGTAATTTAAATTCTATTATATAAAAAAGGAAATTTTATATATCTATTATAGTTTTAATAATTTAAAAAGTAATAACTAAAAAAAAATTAAATCAAATTACTAATATAAACTCGTGCATAGCGCGAATTAAAAACCAAGTCTATTATATAAAAGTTAGATTGGATCTCACAAGAATGTGACACCTCAGCACACTCTTTTCTAACACGTCAGCCTTAGATTTTAGTTTTTTTTAAAACAAATTTTGAATTTTTTCTAATTCTTCGTCTCCTTTCCTCGACTCTTCGATGTAGAAATAGGTCAATATTCCCTCTGCATCAATTCCAATAAATCATCAAATATAAATTTCTATTATGGTTTTCTGTGTTGAGGATCAGAAGAAGATGGATCTAATTAGGACACTGTTTCTCGATGGCGAGGTTGAAGAGGATTAAGCTCCGGCTAGAACATGAAGCGATTTGAAGCGGGTTTTGTCTAACAGTAGAGATGGTCTCCCGAATTTCCCTTATTCTCGAAATAATATCAAAATGGTATGTTAGATCGCCTGATTCTTCAATCCGAAATTTTTCATTTAGTTTTCTTGCTTCTGCGTCTTTTGATTTTTGATATATCATAGTTTTTATGGTTTTTAACCATGATATAAGTCCTTTTTATTGAGTCTTTTTGGTCTTTTTAGAGTCCTAGAAGAGTCTTTGCAGGTTATAGCATGTCTGGAGCATAATTGGAGATTTTGGAACCTTTTGGAGCATTCTGAGTGGAAGCCACGAAGTACCAATCTCGAAGCAGAAAAGTATGCATATGGGTGACGCTCGTCACCAATCTGGTGACGCTCGTCACCCACCAAGGAAGGAGGTCGTGGCCTGTTTTTAAAAGATTGGGAGGAAATTGCAGTTTTGGCCCAAAAGTTCTAATATTTGCAAAAGGCCCCAGATCGTGTTTTAGCTTGTATATTAGGTTTTTCAGCCATTCTTTTGGCAGATATCTTGTATCTTATTATTTTTGAGAGCTTTAGAGAGAGATTTGTAGCAGAGCTTTTGGAGAGACAAATCAGACTCCTTCAGAGCAGATTTCGAACTCCTTTATTTCTACTTCTTATTTCTTTTATGCAATCTATTCTTTTCATGATGTTTTCTAAAATCACCATGTCTGAGTAGTTTGTTAGTTAAGTTAGGGCTTTTCAAAGGTTGAAGAAGAGTTTGTAGAATTGCTAAAAACTTTTAGGAAATTCATTGGTTCTTCATCTGTGCTTGCATTCATATCGATTTCTTAGACACATCATCTGGATTTCGAAACCCTAGGTTTTTTGATATATGTGAGAGCATTATTAATCACCTGAACTAGTATTAGATGAGCAAAACGCCCTAGTACAAAGAGATTTGGCTTAGGAGTTTTGTGAACAATTGAACCTGATCATTACTGCATGTCTAGGTTGTTAGGGTTTGCAAAGAGATTTGAAACTCTGTGACTTAGACATAGATAACTTCTGCAATGAGAATTGATTAGTTATATCTTTGCGATTCATGTTCAAGACGGTTTTAATTCATTCCTGATTGCATGCATTCTACACTCTCGGATTCAACCTGCGAACTGTCCTGACTTAGCGCCTTTAGCCTTCTGAACTTTAAGAACAAGCATAAAAACGCCCTCTTGCATTTATTTTACTGTTTTGCATTACATTCATTATTTATCGCTTAGTTTAATCTGAATCTATAATCGCTAGTGTGGTTTACATACTCCCTTGGGATTCGATAACCCCTTGTACTACAACTGTTTTTGCTGTGCACTTGCAGTAGTTTTATTTGGGTAAAACCTGACCCTATCAAGTTTTTGGCGCCGTTGCCGGGGAGTAATAGCTGCCTATCGATTTTTAGTATTAGGATTTTGTCTAAGTTTTTATTTGTTTACTGATTTTCAGCTACTTTTCTTTGTTCCTGTTTCAGGTGTATGCCTAATCGCAGAACCAGAAGCAACAAAGAGAATGAGCTT